ATACCAGGAGGGGAAGGGGAAAGTGGGGCAGAAAGGGGGAGCTGATGACAATGATCTACATATAACCCCCTCCCAGGGGGATAGACAACAGAAAAATGGGTGAAGGGAGACAGGGGTCGGTGGAAGACATGAAAAAAATTATAAATTATCAAGGGCTCATGAGGGAGGGGGAAAATAAGCTGGTACCAAGGGCTCAAGTAGAAATAAAATGTTTTGAAAGTGATAATTGCAACAAATGTACAAATGTACAAATGTGCTTGACACAATGGATGGATGTATGGATTGTGATAAGAGCTGTATGAGCCCCAGTAAAATGATTTAATAAAAGGATCCTGGTCTTGAACACAGCTCTGGAGTTTTGAGTGCTGGCCAGTGACCAGTGTGACTAATAGGAAGGGGGAGACAGTATTGGAGATGCTGCCTGCTCACCCACCTGAGCTGTATTCACGGACAGGGTGCATCAGAAAGGTCCCTGTGTGTCTTTAAACTCCTCCTCTCTGGGCACGAGGCAGGCTGTCTCTTTGAACCTTGGGTCTGCGGCACGATGGAGAGATCAGGCTCTCACTCACCAGTGCCAGTTCCTCCGCAGGTTCCCCTAACTCTGGGCTCTCTCGGAGTTAGCTTGTCCCCCTGGTAAACCGGGAACACGGTCGCAATCCAGGCAGCTGCTGAGTCTCTTCTGTTTGCATGTCTCTACTTGCACGTGGAGGTCTACATGCACCTATCTGCTGTCTACAGTTTCCTGGGGCGGAGATTTGAGTTCAATCACATCTGTTCCCGCCTTGATGGGACTTGACACCCCTCCCAAGTATGTTCTCCGTGGTGTGGACACCATGTGGTGTGGACACAAGGAGGGTCCGCTCCCCTTTCCCACCTCCCTCACTGAGGTCAGCCCGGAGCATCGAGAGGGGGGCATCTCTGTAGGAACCTTTCAAGTCAGCAGAGCATCCCCGGTTTTGTTCTGGTCCCTCCCCCTGGCAGCCCAGGCCGGAATTGGCATAGGTATTCTGTTCTTCTGGTGAGGGTTAGAACTTGGGTCCTTGAGTCTCCTCTTTTTCTGAAGTTTTGTTTGAAGTGGGTTTTACAGAGCCTCTGCCTATGTGGTCGCGCCAATAGGAGATGCTCTGGGATTGACTGTGCTAATTGGCACAACTCCTTCAAGTCACACTGTGGAAGGATAGCTCTCCTGCAGGTGGGCTAGCTCTGTGGGCCACCCCTATGTCCCCACGTGGACTTGGGTGCCAGTAGCTGGACACTAGGGTCCTGCAAAGGCTCTCGGGCCACTGTCACGAGCCCTCGGGGGCAGTGACCCTTGGGCCCCTAAGGGTGAGTGCCTCTTGGGTAGGAGTTCCTCCTCTCGTGGGGGCACCCCTGACCCAGCCCCCTGTGGCCCCAACTGGGATGACCCTGCCCAGTGCATCACGTTTGAAAACTCAGCACGACACAGTACAAAACACACAGACTTTATTAGGTGGGGGAACATCGCAATAGAAGGCTGCACGTCAATTTGTTCCGTCCTTAACAACAAAGCCAGCAGGGGCAGAGCCTGTGGCTCCCGGACTCGGCCTGACCTCCGGGGTGCTCGCTCCCCTTGGCGGCGGCCTCTCCAGCCCCTCATAGGTGACAGGAGGCAACACACTTCTGCTGGTGGCCAGGTGGTATGGCCCTGGCCCGGACCCCCTCCCCTTCCCTCTACCATCTAGGGGGAGGCCTGCTCATGCCAGCTGTTTGTCAGCTTCAAGAGGACCACTGCCTGCCCTCCCAGGGGCCATGGCTGGTAAGCATCCACGACAGTGTAAGCACAGTGGTGCCCACCTCCCTGCAGCCAGCCCCTGCTGACCACTGACTGACGGGGACCTGCTCCTGGGCACTCGCATCCTCCCCATGCCCAGGAGCTGCTACCACACCACGTTCTGTGAGTTTGTGGGTGCTGTCATGCTGATGCTCAACCTGAGGTGGCAGGCATGTGCTCCTAGGTGTCACACTGGCACTGTGTCAGGTCAAAGAGGCAGGAGCTGAGCCCAGAGGGAACACCCAGCAGGGGCCCTCTGCCACAGCGGGGCAGTGTGTGGGCCTCCAGGCTCACACTCGGATCTCAGGGGACACACAGAGCTTTGTTACAGAACGTCGACACGGGTCTACCGATGGTGTGGGGAAAGGAGTCCCGGGGAGGAGGACAGAGGACGAGGGGTGCTGAGGGGCCTGCAGCTGCACTCAGGGGGGGTGCTGGTGGTGGCAGTGACAGCAGGGTGCTGGAGGTGTTCCATGAGGGGCTGGCTGGTGGTGGAGGAGTGGGTGCAGTGCAAGTGGTGGTGGTGGTGGAGGTAGTGGTGGTGGTGATAGTGGTGATAGTAGTGGTGCTGGTGCCGATGGGGAGATGCTAGCAGTGGTGGCCTGAGGGTGGTGGCGGCCATGAGGACAGGTGATGGTGATGGCAGACACTCGGGCGGTGAGAACAGTGGCGGTGGAGGTAGTGGTGGTGGCAGTGGTGATGATGACGGTAATGGCGGTGGTAATGCTGGGGGAGGGAGGTGGAGGTAGCTGCTCAGGATGGGTGGTGGAGGCTCCATGAGGCTATGCAGTGCTGGTGGTTGTGGTTGTAGTGCGGATGGCCGTGCTGGTGCGGTGCTCATGGTGAGTGGTGGTGGTGGTGATGCCCGGGATGGGGGAGTGGCAGTCATGTGCTAGCTGCTCAGGACGGGCGGGCGGGGTGCTAGTGGAGGCGGTCGTGTTTGTGGTAGTGGTGACGGCAGTGAGTAGCGGTGGCCACTCAGGAGGGGTGGAGGTGAAGGTGGTGGTGGCCGTTGCCACTCAGGATGGGTGGGGGTGGTAAAGGTGGGGGTGGAGAGGTCAGTGGTGGAGGTAGAGGTGGTGGTAGTGGAGGTGGTGTTAGAGGAGGTGGAGGTGGAGGAAGTGGAGGAGGTGGTGACCACTGTCACTCAGGACAGGTGGAGGTGGAGGTGAGGGTACAGGTGGTGGTGGTGGTGGCCGTGGCTGCTCAGGATGGGTGGTAGTGGTGGTAGTGGTGGTGATGGTGGTGTTCGTGGTGGTGGTGGTGTTCATGCCTCTGCACCACGGGCACTGCAAAGCCCTCTCCTGCCAGCATGGGCGGTAGGTCCCGCACTACCTCATGCTCCACCATGCCAGGTGGGGTGTACGCAGCCTTGAGTGGTGAGTAGCCCTCCCTGTTCTTCTGGCGGGACCTCTTATGGCCGTAGGGCTGCGGTGGTGGTGGTGGGGGCTGCAGGGGGAGGTGGTACCCATCCTGAGGGCCCTGGGGCGGTGCTGGCAGATGGTGGCTAAGGGCCTTGACAGGCCTGCCACCCCCTAGACCCATGGGCGGCTTTCCTGCACCCTTGGGAGACTTCAGGAACTGCTTCTCCGGCAGCTTCAGTCGCGGCGGGGCGTCCAGGGCCCGCGCAGCAAGCTCGGCAGGCTCAGCCAGCACCTGGGAGCGGCGATGGTGGCCCATGTGGGCATCCGACTCCTGAGAGCGGGACCGGGCCTGCGGGTGCGAGCCCTTGCTGGGGTGCTCCTGCTTCGGCCGTGCTGGTGGAGACCCTGAGAACAGCAGAGGGGCTGTGGGTGGGCCGGCCTGCTCCACTCCTGCCACAAGGCCACTGACTAAAGGCACTGAGTCTGAGCCAGCTCCTGCTCAACCGTGGGAGCCTGCGAGAGGACTGCCCATGGACTCCAGTCCTGCCTGGCTCTGTCTGCCCCTAGATGGGACCCTCTGTCGCCCCCCACCCCTCCCTTCACAGAGGCCTCGGCTATCTGGCTTGTGGGCCAGCTCCAACTGCCACCTCCGTCGGGAGTGCCACCTGCCCTGCCATCCCCTTCCCACCGGCGGCCGGGAGACTGTCAGCAGATTGGAGGGGTGGGCTCTGACCACCTGGGAGGATGTGTGTCCAGGTGCCAGTGTGTGTGTTGGGGGGGCTTCTGAGTGCACCGCAGCCACCCAGCACCAAGCCCTATGTTTTCATGCCCCCACAGTATACTCCTTCCCCCCATGGGCTGGGTGCCTGCTGCGGGCTCAGGCAGCATGGCTGGTGGGCACGACCCAGCACCTACCGGGTCCAAACTTGGAGGTGTAGTTCTCGATGCCAGCCAAGTCCAGGTAGTGATTCCTGCGCTCCGTGTTCTCGTCCACACAGTAAGGTCCCCGCACGGGGCAGGGGGCCGCATCTGCAGGCCTCCGGCCAGGACGGACGAGCCTGAGGGAAGGGACACAGGTGGCGGGTGGTGGGCAGAGGTTGGGAGACAGGCAGTCTCACACATGGCTGAGGTGGGTGAAGTCAAAGGCCACATATGTCAGAGTGGTGGCTGGAGAGGAGGGAGTGTGAGGGGTTAGTAGGTGTGCCCCCTGCCTGCAGACTTGAGACACCAGTCACGAGTGGCCACACTCACCTGGCGTGGGAGGACAGCCTCCGGTCCACCACGCGGGCATCCTCGGCATGGTCCCCCTCCGTCCTGAGGCGCGAGGTGTCCCGGTCTGCAAGAGGTGGCCACTCTCTTAGCACCCACATCTAATCACCCATGCCCTCCCTCCCCCAACCAACGCCGCACCCACCTACTCTGCCCTCACTCACCCACTCCATCATTCGTTCACTCAGCCCCCCCCCCCATCTACTCCCCTCACCTACCCACTCCATCATTCATTCACTCAGCCCCTCACTCACTCAACCCCATTCAACATCACCCATCCATCCCTCCCTCCCTCTTTCTGGTCCACCCTCTCGTCCTCTCACTTGCTCCCTAGGGGCTGAGGGTGCTGTAGGGAGACTCAGTGCCCCGGACACAATGGACATACGGCTACAGAGGGGACAGGAGCCAGGGGACAGCATGGGCACAACTCAGGCCGGCCCCCTGGGTGGAGGGGTTACTGTGTGGGTGCAGTAGATGGTGCAGAGCCTTCTGGCCCTCCCCACTCCTCACCCTGGCCAGACGCCGGACCGTCTCTCCGCTTGCTGGAGGGGTCAGGGCTGACGGTCAGCTTCACACGGAGGGTCTTACTGCTGCCGGTGGAGTGGTTGACCGAGGCTCCCACGACCTCATAAATGGTGTGCATCAGGCTGGACATGTCCTGGGGGTGGGCAGGGGCCTCACCAACACATGCTGGGCTTCAGGTGCCCACATTGCTGGACAGTTCACCCACCTCCCTGCCTGCCTGCCCACCTTCCGGGTCACACCCACCTGCTTCTCCACTCCTCCCTGCCTGCTGGCCCCCAGCTGCTCCACCTCCACTCATGCCCGCTCCCCCGCTGCCATGTTACTGCCCAGGGGTGTTACAGCTCCCCACCCAACTGCGGAGACAGTCCCTGTGTCCCGTCACTCCAAGTAGAGCCTCAGCTAGGCCCAGGGAGGTCAAACCCCATCTCAGCCAGGCCCCAGCCCACCAGCAGTGCCCTGGGCTGTGGTGCTGAGTGGCTGCTTCCAGGCACCAGTTCATTCCAGGCAGAGCTGGTGTGGGAACACAACAGCCCTGCTGGGCCCTCCTGCTTGGTGGTGGCAGGCTGGGGAAGGGATGGGATGCCCACGGCCCCTATGGGAGCTGGGCTCTCCTTCTTCAGAGTGGGCTCTCTGCCTCTCACAGGCCAGCGCTGTCCACACAGCCAGCCTGGTCGCCCCCTCCCCTTCTCCCCTGGTCCCGCTTTCCACATAGCCTGCTGCCTGCGCTCCACAAGCAGGGTGGTCCCTGACACGATGCACGTGCTACACAGGGACAGTCTTGGGCTCTGCCCCACTCAGAGGACCGTCCCCACCATGTCACACACTCAAGGACGGTCCCTTCCCCATATCACACACAGGAGAGTGTCCACCGTGCGACCCACACTGGAGGAGGCTCCCCGCCAAGCCCCACCCAGAGGACGGTCTCTGCCACACCACGACCCACCCAGAAGGTAGTTCCTGGCCCCGCTGCACGGCCCCCACACAGCCCCAGGCCGCCCACCGTCCACCCGGTACCTCACGGGTCACTTTCCCGCTGTTGTCGAAGTCATAGAGGGTGAAGGTCCACTCCTGGCGGTTGTCCTCTTCCACCGAGACGTCACATTGCAGCTCCTGTGCCCGGAGAAGGGCAGCGGGTTTTGTACCAGCTTGGGTTGCCTGGTGTACTCCAACCCCCATCCAGTCAGGAGAGCCCCCCAGCTAGTTTCAAGGCCATAGCTGGGGGAGCTGCTGACCCCTGACATGCAGGCTCCAGTGGGGCCCACCATCTGGGCCCTGGGTGTGCATGCCTACTCCCCCACCACACACACACACACACACACACACACACACACACACACACACTCCACGGTATCCTGTGACCCTCCCCCTCCGAGACCCAGTGACCCCAGTTGGGGCAGCAGGAAACGGGACCCACATCGATGTGCAGGTACTTCCTGCCGGGCCCGCGGGTGCTGTCACGGCCAGTCACACGCTCCCCATCGTCAGCAAAGAGTTGTCCGGGCCCCTCACGGCCCTCAGCCTTCTCCGGGGGCAGAAGCACTGTGGAGAGAACGGAGAGGGGGCTGGCCCTGGTGGGCACCTCACTGGGTCTTACCCAGGACGGCCCTCCTGCCTTTGCCCACCGAGCCTGGGGAGGCTACTTGGCCGCAGGGCTTGATCAGCAGGGCGGCATGAATTTCCCAGCAACCAGCACCAGCCCCAAATGGGGGATCAACCAGGGAGGAAGGGGCCACCCTGAGGGTCATGGACCCCAGATGCATAGTGAACACGGGTACGCATGTCCTGTGCATGTTACAAGGCTGGGTCTCATCTGACCCATGGAAGGGCCCTCGCAGCCTGCCCACCCAGCTAGCTGCCTCAGGAGTCAGGGCCCCGCTGCAGAAGGCCTAAACCAAGGAGTTGGAGCCCTGGAGAACAGGGAGGCACAGCCCTTTCCAGAAGATTCTAAGGCAGCCCTCTTCCCACTGGAACGGGCTGACTGGAGCCTGGGAACGTACTCACCCTCCAGGGGGCCTTGGCCCTCTCGGAAGTGGGCAGCCTTGGGGTCCCCGTGGAACAGCTCCTGGAGAGAGGAAGCCTGTGAGTGCCGGGGTCTCTGAGCGGGGCGCCGGCTCATCTGTCTCGTCGCCTTCCCCTGCCCCCACAAGTGCACCCCGGGTGGCAGGACAAGCAGAAATGCTCCCCCCACATAAGGGACCCAGGCCCTGCCGACACTCCTGGGACACCCCCACCAAGACACTCAGACACTGTGCTCCTGGCCTGGCTGTCTAGGCACTGCCCGATGCCCCCTACACCACGGACTTGGGGTCCGATGACTCCCGGACCAACACCCTCACCAAAACAACACCGGCTCCCCTGGAGTGAGACTTGGAGGGGAGGGAGGTGTGGCGAGGAAGGCAGGCTCAGGGTCTGGTCACTGCCCACCAGGGCTGCCAATGCTTTCCTAGAGGACCTTGGGGGTGGGGGGGGGTGTCTGTGAGGGCTGGCCTGTCTGCCAACAGCCGAAAGCCATCCTTCAAGCCACAGAGGTGCCATCTGTGAGATAGGTACCCCTCCCCCAGCTCATGTGCCCACTGGCCCTGACCCCAACTCTGGCTGTCCTATGAGACTGGTACCTCTCCCCTGTCTCAGTACCCACTGACCCTGACTCCTGACTTGTGCCCTGCCAAGTTGTCTCAGTACCCACTGACCCTGACCCCCTGACTTGTGCCTTGCCAGGTATTGTTCCTGCCACAGGGTCCATACCCACGCTCTGCCATTCCCACCCAGGACCCAGCACAAGGGGAGGGGCTGGGTCCTTTTGCCCCCCACACTGGCTCTCAAATGGCTGGGTGGAGGGACTGAGGGGATAGGCAGTCCAGGGGCCCCAGACAGCTACTGGGGGGGGGGGTAATGGGGCAGCGGGAGGCCACACCAGCCAGTGGGCCCCCAATTTTCTAGGCTGAAGGCTGGTAGTTCCATCAGCTCCAGAGGTACACCCCAAGACAGTCTGGACCCCTGCCTCAGCTCACAGAGCAGGCAGTTCCAGAGGGCACATGTGAGCACACGAGAAGCAGCAGCCACGGGCAATAGCCGATGGGGGCACGTTTCAGAATGTTGTATTAACTGGGTGCGAGGTGGCAGGGAGACGTCTAAAAGTTGGACACTGTGTAGACCCCAGTGCCGCCCAGTCGGGACACTCAGGACCTATGCAGTGACCACTCCCCATGTGTTCCAAACCTTATTTGGAGTAGGTGCTCACACTGGCCCCATGGCGGTGACCCCAGCATGTGCATCCCGCCCTCCACCTTCCCCCCTCCTCCCCGTCCCCGGCCATGGCCATGGCCCCGTGTCAGACCAGAGCTCTGCCCTGTGGGGTTTGCAGCGGCTGCTTTCCAGAGTGACTGCCAGGTCTTTTCTTACAAGGCACCCTCGGGGTGGGCTTGCATGGCCAGCGCCTCTGTTGGCAGCCAAGAGTGTGGACCCTTTGTATCTGGCACACACGTCCACCTGGCCTGTGGTGGGCAGAGGCCTGGGTGTGGGGACAGGGGCATTGTGGGAAGTGGCTTGGGCCTCTGTGATGTAGGTCAGGCAGTTTAAGTCAAATACGGCATCACGCCAGGCCGAAATTTATTCTCTCACTTGCACAGGCTGGGCTCCTGACCATGAGCAGAGCCCACCTCCCGCTGATGCTGGCCAGCTGTGCCCTAGAGGTGGCCTTGTGGGCATCTATGGCACTGACCCTTTGTTGCTGAGGTGTGGGATTGGGAGCCCAGCCCACCATCCTGGTGCAGAGCCCCATCTCCAGGTGCCCAGTGTCCCCTGTCCCCTGAACACCCTGTTCTGCCATCCTGTCCCCTGGCCTCGCATCCCTCCACCAGAATGCCTGTCACCCACCTCTTAACAGTTCAACTGAGGATCCCACCATGGGCTGGGTACCCTGTCTGCCTCCCCAGGACCTGAGGAGGGAGCAAGGCCCAGGGTGTCCACCTGAAGGGGACTGGGTGGCCATCTGCTGGGGCAGGGGCTCCCGGAGTGGCCGCCTGGGGGAGGGAGGAGAGGCAGGCATTCTGTCCCCATCCCATTCAGGCTGCAGGAGGGCTGGGCACACATTCCAGGGCCAGAGGAGCTGTTTTCCTGGGATCCAGCCCCCACACAATACACAGGCCTTTCGGAGAAGGTTCCTTGAGGGAAGTAGTGTGGTCAGGGTGCAGCTGTGTCTGACACGGCCATTTATTTCCCCCATGTTCATTCACGGAGGGCACGAGTGGCTGCCCAGGTCTACACATGGTGGACAAGGGTCTACACAGGAGGGTTGTCTGCCCAAGACTCGATGACAGAGAAGGGACCCTGTGGACCACCTTCTCAGCTTCTTCATCCCAGTCTGCCCACAAGGTGCAGAGCCCAATGGAAACCTCACCATAACCTTCACTGTGAACATTCTAGAAAGATCTGGAAGGTCCATGCTGGACCCTGAAGGTCGTGCCTGAGACCCCGTGGAGTTTCCAGTCCTGTCTCTCCCGGTGCACCATGGTGATGGTTTGTGTGGTGGGAGGGGCAGATCCTTAAGGGGCCGGCCTCCACAGGCTGGCTGCACCGAGCAGGTTCCTGGCAGTCCGTGGACATTGTATGTCCAGTGTGGTGGGGATAGATGCTCCTGGGCTGACGGGTGGGAGTGGGGGTGCACTGCAGAGACTCACCACCTACCCTTCTGCAGCCGGCATGGGCTCCTCCCACCTCACAGGCCTGTGTCTCCTGTCCCTGGAAAGGCCTGAGTCCAGCAGCACCACACAGGAGATGGTAGTACTGTGATGGCTTTGCTGAGGCTGACCCTAGAGGGCAGCATGGGACTGCGGGGACCCCCCCCACCCCATGGTGGGGAGAGGTCTGGGATTGTGCATGTTTCCCGGAAGTGACATCGCCAGTATTTCAAATACCAGCAGGGTCACCCCAGGGTGACACGCCAGAAGAAACGCCTCGCCCCACCATCAGCCAAGGGCAGTGCTGTGGCTGACAGCAGAACCCAGAGCCACAGCGCTGGAAGGTGAGTCGCCCACAGAGAGACAGCCACCGTGAAGGGGCATCAGCTTTGGGGGCGAAGGGGACAGGAGCACTTGGGGACAAGCCCTGCTCAGGGGGACAACACAGGGGTGAGCCAGGACGCCAGGGCTGAGGAGCCATAACCCTAGGCAGGGGTCGCCCTGGGGACCTGGAGGCTCTTGTGTGCCACCCACCAGGAAGGACCCGGCCAAGGGAGGGCCTCCCCCCAGGAGGCCCTTTGGGCCAGGGAGTGGTGTCCGACTGTCCGAGCCTCCGGTGCCCTGCAGCTCCGGGCGGGGGCTGCGTGTTTCCCTTAATAAGAAAGCGCTCGGGAGGCCGGCGCCGCCCCTGCGGTCGCCCGAGTGGAATCCGACTTCAAGGGGCGCCGCCCGCGCGCCTGTCTGGAACCCGGGCGCCTTGGAAGCAGCTCGTTCGCCGCCGCTAACCAGTTTCAGATGTGACCATCCACGTCCGGGCGCGGCCACGCAGACTGTGTGCGGCGGGGGCGGGGCCCTCCGAGGGCGGGTGGCCGGGCGACAGGGCCACAGCCAGGGGGCTGCTGGGGGCTCTGACCAGGGTGCCGCCCCGCCGGTTGGGGAGGGGTATCTGCCGGCTCAGGGGCTCCAGAGAGCAGCACCGTGGCACGCACGGCCTGGGGACTCCGCTCGCCCTCGGTCTGGCAAAGCTGCAGCCCGGCGCCCCTGTGGGGCAGTTCCAGCAGGCCCCACGGGGTCCTTGTGAGTCAGAATTGGGGAAACTCACTCCAACCCCCCTGCCTTCCAGTTCTCAGACTGGCCACCCCCCTGTAGGACAGAGGGGGAACTGCCCCTTTGGGTTCCCGAGACTTTAAGTCGTTCTATTTAAAAATGTTGTTGGGTTGATTGGCAGATGGTTCACATACCGAACCACCCGAGGGTTTGAGAATATTTAAGAGCCATGCAACCATCCCCGCAGTCCATTCTCCATTCTTGTACTCATTACTATCGGCTCCACACCACTACCACCACCTACCCCCACCCACCCAACCCTAAGAAACTATTCATCTAGTGACTGCCTCCACACTTCACATCTTGACAGGGTAGACAGCCTCACCTTTCTCCTGCAGAGCAGCTGATGGCTTTGAACTGCTGACCATAGGGTTAGCAGCTTGGACATATACATATATATTCTGCGCATTCCCTGTACTGATGACTAATGGATGTTTGTTTGCAGCTGTTTCTTCTCATTTTGTGTTGTGCCCCTTCAACACAACTCAAATGGAGGTGCCGACAGCTTTGCTCCCTCCACGTCATTAAGATCAGGGAGCCAGCTCTTCCTCAGTCGTATTTTGAGTGCCTTCCAACCCTGGGTGGGAGGTGGGGTGGGGTGGGGGGCATCATCTTCCAGCATGATGTATACAAAGGACACAATCTCGACACCTGCTTCCTGATTTTAAACTAAGCAGTATTCCCTTGTTCTTCCTCATGAGCACAATGAAATGCTCTGGAACTCCCATTCTTCTTGTGCTCTCTGCAGCATGTTACAGTCCACACACTTGAATAACTTCACAGTCAGTAAAAGTCCCGCTGGTGTTCTCTGCTTTCAGCTAAGGCCCCCTGACATTGGCGGTGGTATCCCTTGTGCCACACCTCTTCCACATCTGGAGTGGATTTCCGGCAGTTCCCTGTGGATGTACGCCTGCCGCCATCTTTGAAGTGTCTTCAGCAACATCTTGTGTATGTACTGATGATATTGTTCAATCACCTTTCTTTGGAATGGGCACGGATATGATTCCCTTCCAGTTGATTGGCCAAGTAGCTGTCTTCCAAATGTCTTGTCACGGAGGAGGGAGTGCTTCCAATGTTACATCCATTTGTCCGAACATCTCAGTTGGTATTCATCTGACATCGGCAATAACAGCCCTTGTCACATGTCCCCTTTAAAATCCAGCTGGATCCTCTGGCAACTCCCTGTCCATGTGCTGCTGCAACCATTGTTAATGATCTTCTGCAACGTTTTCCTGGCATGCGACGTCAATGGTCTTGTTCTATAATTTGAGTGCTCTGTTGGGCCATCTGTCTTTGGAACGGGTTCAACTATGGATCTCTTCCAGTTAACTGGCCAAGAAGCCGTCTTCCAAATTTCCTGGCGTAGCTGAATGAGTCCGTCCAGTGCTTCATCAGCTTGACACACTTCCATTGGCATTTCACCCATTCCTGGAGCCTTGTGTTTTGCCAATGCCTCCAGTGTATCTTGGACTTCTTTCCTCAGAACTGTCGGTTCCTGAAATGATTGAATGTTGACCAATTCTTTTTGATACAGTGACTGTGTGTTTCTTTCAACTATTCCTGTATTGTTCATTATTTTAAACATCCCTCCTCCCCACAGCCAAAGAAACTAAACTCGGTGTTACTGAATTGATCCTCGAAGGACAGATAACATTGTCCCCTCTCCCTCAACATGGCAGCTCAAAGCTTGGGTTTCTCTGCAGTTGTTTCATCCTGAAAGACATCGGGAACATTCTCCTCCTTTGGTTTTCTAATTCTCTGTGTATTTCCTCCCAATGCCTGCTCTTTTCGAGCCACCCTGTGAAACTAGTCTGTCTGTTCCTTTTTCTGCATTACTTCATCCATTCATTGTAGTTGCTCTGTGTTTAAGAGTTAAGTTTCAGAGTCTCTTCTGACATCCGCTTTGGTCTTTTCTCTCTTTTTAATGACTTGTGGGTTTCTTCACATAGGACGTGCCTGCTGTCATCTCACAACTCACCTGGTCTCCCGTCATTAGCGGTCAGTGTTCTTGAGATGGCCTCTGGATGCAGGCAGGGACTACGCAAGGCTGTACTTTGGAGCCCAGGGACTTGTGTTCATTGTTTTCAGCTTCAACCTGTGTGGGAGCCCAGTTTTGACTGATGACATCAAGCTTCGCCATCACCTCCTTCTATAGACGCAGTTGACTTTACTCCTAGTGAGGTCCAGTAAGCTCACTGGGTGTGTGCATCTGAAAGATGGCATTTGCAATGACTAGGTCATAGGTCTTCTACATTCTGTCTTCACGATCATTTCCGTCACCAAGGCCATCTCTGCCAACTACCGATCCTGTCTCCTGGTTTCCGACTTCGACGTTCCGGTCACCAGTAATTAATTGTCCATGTAACTTGATGGCATGCTTTGAGCCATTTTAGACAGCAGACATTGGGGAAATATCTTCAGCATCTTCATAACTGGCATTCGTGGCTGGACATAAATGTGGATACTAGTCCTATGCACTGGTTTTCCATCCAGGTGCCGGGATAAGTATCCAAATCACTGGTACGGCAGGAGTTAAGAGCAGGTCTTCAAATGTTCTTTTAGATCAATGAACGTGACACCGTTCGTCTTAAGGTGGTCATTCTGACCTAGTAGACCATTGGTGACGCACACTGGCCAGCGACGGTCCACTTCAGCCCGTTAAGGCCTTGGAGATCTGTCCCTAGAAATTCCTTCACAGGGATGGTACCTAAGAAGCGTTCATGTTTGCTCACCGTATGCACTCCCGTGTTCCTGGACAGGCTTCCTGAGAGTCATACGGTGTACGTTGCACGTTCTGGTTCTTAATGGGTGTCTGCAGCCTCCACAGCATGGCTTCATCCATGCCATTGGTCAGCTCTGCTTTGAGAAGCAGCTCTCCAGGAGGACTCTGTGTGCGTCCATTCGGAGGGGCTCATCGTTTGGCCCTATAGCAAATACTCTTCTGGGCTAGTCATGATTTTCACTGGCTGTTTTGTTTTTGTTTGTTTTTCCCCAGAAAGTGGTTCACCAGTTCTATCTTCCCAGTCTGGAAGCTCTGCTGACACCGGGCCGGCACCCACGCCAACCTCCAATCACAGGCGCATGGCCTTAGCCTCCGGCTTAGAAGAGGAGAGTCCCATCATGACCGGCTGCCCACAACCCTCCCTATACACGCTTTCTGCCGATGCCTCGTCTCGGTGCCTCCGACGTGAGAAAATCATTTCACAGGGAGGAGCCTGCCTCCTGCGTCCCTCCCCACTTCAGCTCCACAGCTAACGATTCATTGCACGGGCACAAGAGACGTTATCGTGCCAAGCCTTCCTCCCTGCCCTCTGGGTTTATCAAGCTCAGCACTCACCCAAAACACGCAGGAAAAAGCAGAGGACAACTCCAAGCCCTGAGACAGCACACCTCAACATTCTCATGTAGATGCCTTTGAATGTGCCTCAGTTTGTCCATCTAGACCCAGGCTAATGCCCTCATTAGGATGCAGATCAGGACACGGTTTCCCCATGCCTTACGGCTGGGGTAGGGGGTGGGGTGGCAGGAAAATTTTCTTATACAAATGAAAGCCTTTGGTTTCCCTTTCAAAGGAAGGCTAATGCCAGAGGTGGCCACTCGTGGATTCACCCTGCAGTGCTGCCATGTTGGTTGTTGTTTTTTCTTCATTTTTTATATGCTAATAAGGGGTCCTAGTGGCCTACAGGTTACTTGTTGGGCTGCTAACCACAAGGTCAGTTCTCCTAAACTACTGGCAGCTCTTGGGGATAAACAGAGGTTTCCACTCCCCGTGGGAGAAATTTTACCCTGTCCTATAGGTACCTATACGCTGAATTGACTTGATGCCAGTGTGTTTGTTTCTCTGTTGTTATGCTAGTGTCCCCATAGGCTGTTTGAGAGAAAGGAGCACACATCTTCAGTTGTGCACCATCAGACCCACGCCTCGCCTGGGGTGGTGAGCTTGCTGGTGATCCAGACACCACCCTGCCAGCAGCTGTGTGCGCAGCGGTGTCCTGGAACTGCTCCCAAGCCGCTTCTACAAGCTTCGACCATGATCCCCCCCCCCCTTAAACTCGGGCTTTCTTGGAGACACCAGTGCACCGGTCCACGGCATGACTAGCAAGGGACACCCTTTGCTAGAAGCCATCTTGCCAGAAATGAGATTCAGGGTCAGGTGATCAGTGACAAGATTGGTGGCAGGACCAGAGGGTTGGGACCAGCCGGAGCAGAAAAGCCTAGTTTTGAGTGGGGGTGTCCCTGGGTGTCTGAAACAGGAGCCACAGAGCTGCACAAGTGGTGGCTGTTCGAGTCCCCCCCC